GGAGCATCGAAAGAAGTGAAGGAATAGGATAAAAGCAAACAGAAGAATGTTAGTTGTGATTGTGGAATGCCTCCAAACACTCCTCACGGGGATCTTTATGAATTCCCTCATCTTTCTCCACCTATCCACTTGTTGTTTATATGTATACATCTATATGTACGTAGCTTATATATGTGCATGCATACATATAACATACTACATGCCATTTCATAACTAACACCTAGATGTATGATCACGAAATTCAATTTCAAATATATAAATACCCACAATTTTGTTTATTATAAAGTAATACCGCAACCATGTAATGAAAATGTCTTCTTTTTGTCACACTGATTAAATGCGAGTACAAATCAATTAGTAAAAATGTCGAATTTTACAATGTAGATAGAGAAAAAAATTCTTAAAATTGGATTGGCTCTAGAAACAAAGGAAAGGTATTTCATAAACATATAAGTTTCTTGGTTACTAATACACAATGCCTAGCTAAAAAAATTCAAAATGTATAGGAGGCATATATATGCCTGTGTAAGCGCATATATAAATGTGATGAGTACTATAAGAGTATGGAATTGTCTATATTCCACAAGGACATATAAAAGTACCCATCAATTCACATGTGTTCCGATTAATCATCACCACAAAACAACACTCTACACAATAGACAAGCCCTTTATTTCTTCTCACGTATAGCTTCATAGATATATCCCAGTCTTTCTTATATTCTTCTCCTTTTACAGTCTGTTTTCTCCTCTTTGATGAAATGTTTAATTAAGATAGATAACTAGGGTTTTAATCGCTTGGAATTGCCAGAAAAATGGCACTCACGTGACTTGCACTTCGGGAAGTACATTCACATGCACAATTTGACAATTAAAAAAAAAAAACCTATTAATCTCTCTAAAGCTTAGAAATAAATGGTTTTGTTGTCCATAGAGAGTAGAGATCGAAAGGGACGCGAGCGAGAGAGTTTAGACATCAAAAGTTCATATACAAAGGATATTTTGTTTTTAGATCAAAAAAAAAAAAAATGAAGATTTTGTCTCTATCGATAGATTATACAAAAAAAAAAAAATATATTACTCATTTTTACATTGGTTTAGATCAAACATTTCTGTAAAACAGTAAGAAATCTACATCTTGTGGAAAAAAATATCATAGTTGTAATTTAAATTAGAGAAAAAATTTCAGATTAGTTCTAATTTTTTCATATATTACTAGATTAACACCCATTCAAAAATACTTAGTAAAAAACAGTTAACCCATCAAACTTTATTTTAATAACATTAATGCTATTTTACATTAAAAAAAATTAACAATTAAAAATTGTTATCTGATTTAAAAAAAAACTTTGTGCACCCGTCGAAACCCTGCAACATGCATATGCATCCACTCTGATTATGCTTAATAGCTTTCTTTCTTATTTCTAAAATTTAAATGTTCTTTGGAATCCACCTGCAACCTGCATATGCTTAAAACCTTTAATTACTAAATAGCCGTAATAGTTAAAAAAAAATCCTAATAAAACCCTAATAGGTACAAAACACGATGACAACATATAGTTGGAGGTGGTTACAAAACATTTAAATTTGAATATTCGTTTCGCCGTAATAGTTATTTTGCCGTAATAGTGATTTTGACAACATATAGTTATTTTGCCGATGACAACATTTAAAATTATTTTGCCGTAATAGTTACAAAACACGATGACAACATATAGAACCCTAATTTTCGTTTTTTCTTTCATTGAATATTCGGTTTGCTCTAATTTAAACGGTTTGGTTCGGTTAATATTGTATGGTTCATATTATAATGGCATTCATGTAAATAAGATTTTTACTAACAAAATATTTGAGGATAAATTAAGTATAAAAAATTCATTAATAACAAAATAAAATAAGAGCTAATCTAGTAATTAAACAATAAATTAGTGCCAAACTAATTTTTTCCTTTAGATTATTCAGGAGTTAACTCGACTATTTTTTCACACGATGACAAAAAATGATATCATCGTGTAGAACAATATACATACATACTCTTACGATATTAGGTTTATAGATTACAAAGGTGGTGGCACCAACTTTTGTGGACAATCTATAGGACCATTATATCATTTCAATGTACACAGTGTTTGTAGTCAAACAACTACAAAGACAAATGCCCAGCCCTAGATTAAAGGTGATAAATGTTTTAGCATATTTCTTATTGTAAGCGATAAAATCATCATTTTCCCTTATATGGTTGCTTCCCCCTAATAATACCATGTATGTGATATTGATGTCACCTTCCTTAAAAAAGGCTCCATTTAACTCAAATAGTTTACTACATAATTTTTTAAAATATCTTAAGTAAAAAACACAACTCTGACACATTGAGGTTGATACAGATGTGGACTTTGGTTAGTTGTAGAGAGATAGATAAAGATAGGAGAGGTCGAGAAGAAAATGTATCTCTCTAAGAGCATGTACATTGGGTGCTCTCAATAGTATTCTTAAAATATAAAATTATTAAAACACACACTTTTTTTTCTTTTTACTCAACTTTATATCTTCTCTTTCATCTTTTTACTCAACTTTTATTAATTTTATATTTAAACACTCTCTTTTTATTTTGAGAACACTATCTAAAAATACTACTTTAAGAACACTCTTTCTCCCATGTTCTCAACTTTTATTAATTTTATATTTAAACACATCCACTATCTCCTCTCTTTCCTCAAATTTTATTAATTTTATATTCAATACACCCCATAAAAACACTCTCTTTCTTCCTTTTACTCAAATTTTAATAATTTTATATTTTAAGAACACACTTGAGAACACCCCAATGTACATGCTCTAATGTCACAGTGTTTTTTTTTATTAATTAAAGAATGTAAGAAAAATTATTATGCACGAAGTTTCAATGTATGTTTCGTTGGGCTGGGACGAGCGGTTTAAGATTCCTCCCAAACATTTCTCGAAATCATGGGAGCACACACAAACAAAAAAGAGCTGGCTTAATATGACTGTAATAATTTATCAAAAACTATAATAAACTATTTCCTTTCTTCTTATTTTATCAATTATATATGTCCTTTCTTCTTCTTTTTTCAATGTATGTGTATATCTGTATTAAAAGGTCTCGTGTTTGTGACAGCTATATTTCCTTTGTCTTCTCTCCATATGTATTGTATTCCCTTGTCCGAATCAAATATCATGCCATGACACATATATCAATGCACGTATTTTATTATTCTGTGTAACAAGAAGTGGAAAAAAAAAAATCTAACATTTGCAGAGGGTACTAGACTTAATACCACGTGTGAAGAGATCATTAGACGGCGTCCGTTGTATTAGGGAAAATATAAATTAGCGTTCTACTTACCTTCGGTATATATATTTCCACTACTTTACCTTATATTGTTATTGTATGACTAATCGACGGTGTTAAAATACTGATAGCATCTCCAATTTCATTCTATTTTTCATTCTAAAATAAAATTTGAAATTTATTGTTTTGTCCAATTCTACTTCACTTATAATTCTAAAATGGATTCAAAAAATAAGCTTATTTCAAAGATGGAGTAGTCACATTCATTACTCCATCTTTTACTCATTACTAAATTTGAAGTAATTTTATTCATTATTCTATTTTTTTACTCATCACTTAATTTTTTATTTTAAAATGGAGTAAGTTTGAAATCAACTCAATTCCAATTTAGAATTGTAGAAAATAAAGTAATGGGTTGTCTAAATTCTTTGATATTTTACGGCACTAATCAATATCTATTTCTTGCCATGCATCATTGTCTCTGTCTCTCTCGTTACATGGTTGTAAAAAGACAACTCATTAGTTAAACTCCAAATATGTGAATTTGCATGGACTGTAATTGAAACTTTATATAGAAAGGACCAAAAAGACAAGAATAACATTGTAAACATATATATCTTAACAAGAATGTACCAAAAACAATACCCATTCCATCTGCCCCACTCTCTTCTTCTAAGTGACAAAAAATTATCGTAGAGAATTAGGTCACGGGGCTGACTTTGGCTATCAAACATCATTCCTTGCTTCTTTCAAATTTTTTTGTTCTATTTTTATTATTTATTTGTAGTATTTAGGTTTATACAATTGTTTTAAATAGCCATTATGAAAAAAGAAAATAAACAAATAAATTTTCAACGAATTTTTCATATCCGGGAAAAAGCACATGCTTTTACAAAAAAATGTAAATAGAAAAAACGAATTCCTACTTTGGTATGTTTTTTAGACAACGGTATACTATATTTGACAGGGGGGAAATTGTAGAAGGCATAGAGAGACTCTCCTCGTTCTACCTCTTTTCTAATCTAAGATATCGACCAACAAATCCGAAACAATAAGAGCATCCTTAACGCTGAAACTTTTATAAGTGTCATAAACATTAAAAAATGAAAAAATTAGAAAAAGTAAAGAAAAAGAGGAAAAGGCAGAAGAACGGTTCATTAGACGGAAACTTTAGAAACATGTTTGAGAGAGTGTCTTCCAAATGTTGTATTTTGATTGGTTCAAT